ACTCCCCTACCCCCCCCCCGGGGCTGAGACTTTAACAAAATTTATTGATCTCTTGCTATTTGAGATCCCCAACTCCACTCCCCCCAAAACATACACTATTCTCATTGCATCATCTATCCAGTCTATTATTGACTGATGACTCATCTATAAGCGTTGAATCAGAACACGAGGTCATATACATGTAGGCATGACTAARCTCTTAGACTAATTGTATCATACTTTATGACATGTCGAGTGTACCTATAGTATAACAATAACTATGGTAGCAAATCACAGGAAGTAGATGCCTCGCATACCTTTACATCCGTCCTACAGAATCTAAATCATATCTTTGCTAAAGTTACTTACCTTCCAAGCAACCTGGCCATCAATATCAGAACTCCACAATCAAAATTCTTTGCATGAGTTATCTTGTATTACTTATAAACGAAGCGTTACACAAGTGTTTTTCCGTTACATTATTCAACTCAAAACAGTATTTAAAAAGTTTCTTATAATGTACTATGTTGTTTATTGTGTTCCTTAAAAGTCGGATATTCGTGTCGTAAATTTGAGCTTTGAATTTTAATTTTTTTCCGGTTATACAACCGCCTGCAAGTGTCTAAAAATATTCGGCTTGGGTCAGAGACTTGGGCCTTGCGAGTTGGATTCTGTTCCATTGCGTGAAATTTTTGGGTTATCGATTCGCTTTTTTTTTTCATTTTAGAATGCGGAAAGAATGATTTTGAATCGTACGACTCCGTTTGCTGCTAGTTGGCTCGTATCCCCCTCATCTAAATATCGTAGGTACGGAAAAACCTTGAAATAAGGCTTCCTTCGTACAATTGACAACTATAATAGACACAAGGAGTTCCGTACAAGTCTATTGAACGATTTTATTACAAAAAAATATATATAAATAAACAAATAAAAAAATTAATATAGAATCTTCGCAACATACATTCAGGAAAAAAAAAAAGAGACTGGGCTACCTGTGATTCTTTTAGCTTCCAGACTACCACATACTGGGTAATGTGACAATGACTCCATCACTGACAAATAAACTCATCTAAATCAGTATAAATTATAACCATAGTTTAGCGTGGTTAAATTATGATATATCGACTTGTATCTCTTTCATAGCGTCGCAAAACAAATCTAACGGAACAAAGCAAAATAATTTGTTTTCCATCTCGAATTATGATACTGACAGTGTCTCGATTTTCGCGAAAGAAAAAAGGCACGTCAGTTTTCTTAATGCGTCTTTTGTTATTTTCACTTTCTCACCATTATTGTCATGTTATCTCCATATATAATACTCTGGTTTGAAACAATATCTTTTTAGTTCCAGCTCGTGTATGAAATACCGGAAGACGAAAGACCTATTTTGCATTGCTGTACCGGAAGCTTATGACTTCCGTTACGTAAGTGCAGGGTTGAACCTCAGTAGCACGACTGAGCGAAGGTTCGGCTACTGAAAAATCAGCCCTTGTTACTAAAATCCCTAGGCTGAAATTTTACCAGCCTTTCAGATTAAAGAAAATGACACAAAGGTTTTCGACACTTGCAACTAATCTTTCGTCGGACCTAAAGTTGAACATCGTCGCTACATTCCTTTTCGTCCATGAACTATATACAACGAAAAAAAWATATTTTATCAACTCGTAATAAATAGGCCAAGCAGAAAATAAAAACATCAAAATATCAGCATGGCTGGGTTTTCTACTTCCTCCAGGAAAAAAATAACAACATCCTTGTCAACTTTGCTGTCGCGAGTCGATTGTGGCGAAGATACTCGATGAGGATCGTAAAAATTGCCTTTTTTAGTGAAGCTTTGGTTGTAAGTGTAAGTCTTAGTATGTTTTGTACTTAAGCAAATTGACAGGGGAAAAACGCTTGTGGTTTTGTATTTGAGAGTCAGTATTTGAGAGTAACAGGTCAGCGTTCTTTCTTCTGGGGACACTTCTCCAAGTAATGGAACGGCTGAAACAGCTCAATCGATAGTTCATATATGATTCAGTTATGTCCGAATTTTCACAAGAGTCACTCTTCAGTCAAATTCCATTTTGAGGCTTTCGTAATCATATCTAACATAAAGATAGATACAAGGGGGCTAATATATTGGTGGAAAACTGATATCAACAAGTTAAACAAGAAAGTAGCTACGAATTAGAAAAATAAAATAAATTAAAGTCATCATAAACATGGTTTATTCATATATTCAACTATTGTACAAAGATTAGTTTATAATAATATTATCTACAAATACAAACATCTCTACAGTCAGTTCGTCTACAATATATTCTTCATAAAATTACCATCCTGTTCAGATATAGTTATTAACTATGAAAACGATTGATTGAATACACGCAGTAAAGTCGATACTACAATTCTGTCTTGTTAAACTTTTTTTAATTTTCCTTGGAAAAAACGTATGCTAAAAAAGTGTTTATTGAGCTAGATTGTTTTGGATAAGTTTTTTTTACTTACTTGTCGGTATACTATCAGTAAGACAGTATTTTTGTAGGCAATACCAGTTTTACTATAAAAATATAGTCTGGCACAGCCAGAACGTTCAGAATACTTCTGTCTTTACATTGTAAATACTTTAGCTTTGCATTCTTGGCAAAGACTACGTTGTGTTGTTTATGGACTTTGCTTAGTGATTGCTATCGAGTTTTTGTACAATGCACTCGATTCGGCTTGAATAATATGATAAGCTTTATAAACGAACAGTAACGACCTGTTTAGAGTCAACAGTTATTGTGATTTTGCTTAACCCACGAACCAAAACTTAATAAGCAAATACACAAAATAATGAAGAGAAAAAAAGATCTATCCTCTATTAGTCTACTCGAATATTTCAACTTGGGTATATTATTCCCGAGGTACGAAGTAGTCTTTGTTGGTATTGCTACTTAAAAAGCTAAAGAAAGCTAACATGTAGCATCTATGAATAACTTATAATTAGACTATAATTTATGGAAAAAAAAGTTAAAAACTGTAGAATATAGCAGTATAGATATAGCAGTTTTAGCTTCAAAGTTCGATTCTTTATTCTAAACGACTCTTTCTAAATAATAAACAAATTTTTTCGTCAGTTCAATGTGGTCGTTGAGCTTCACTCGATTGCCAGAAACTGTCTGACTGACTTCACAGACCTTCATAAACGCAATTTCTTTTGGATTTCAAAATTTTGATATTAAGGAAAACTTCATTTAAGGTACTTTGCTAAACAAATATGTATTTCACTCGGTCTCTACACAATGTAATTAGCTTGGGTCTCGTGAAATACGGTGCTCTAACTGATCTCATATCTGAGATACCTGTCCACACCTTCTTGTACAAACTGCTAACTTGCAAACTGCATGTCCTAAATTTGACTTGATTTTGCTGCAATATTCTTAGGATTGTTCTTTGCTCCATTAAGTATGGAGTAAGTTCAGGCTTATCTTCAGTATTCTTAGATCAATAACGACCCCATTCACCAGACTAGTGGCTTTGAAACCGTGGATTTCATTGAGTTCCCTCTGCCAAGAGTGAAGATATGGTCAAGCAGTCTTACGCGAATTTGTATACCAGCTTGCTTCGAGGTTTAGTGAGGATTCCTTTGGCGATGTAAGTACGTAGAGACCGGGCAAAGTTCTCGTACTTCATACGAGGTTTATTCCTTCGTTCTCCCCATTCTTGTGCCACGCGTGACGAATTCAGAAACTTAAAAACGCCCCTTTCTTTGTCGATCCATTCGATGAGGTGCGAATACTTCTCAGGGTGGCTTAGAAGCTCGAGAAGAAACTGGCATAGCCTCGGTCTTCCTGATTTAAACGAGCTCTTACATTTTTTTATTTCTTTTTTCACTTCAGTAGGCCTCTTTGTGATCACCAGAGGGCTATGGCTATTCGTAGAGTCAATTTCAAACCAAGGGGAGTGAGCTTCGAGTCTGCTGCTGAAGCTATCCGGTGATTCACTCATTCTTTCGGCTTCATCGACTTTTTTCACCTCGAATGGTGGCTCGCTGTCACTACTGTATTCCGAGAAGTTAGAATCCTCGGGTGTTTTTGGGATAATTTCTTCATTGTCAGCAAAAAGAACCTCTGGTGTGTCGAGCCATTTTTCTCCGAGCTCGGGAACAATATGCATTTCCTGTCCCTCAGGAACAGGAAAATTCCTGTAATTTTCCGACAAGTCTCGCGAGAAAAACGGTGGATACTGGATCAGATTCTTTGTGTCATTTATGAGTTTTTCTCCCCACAGGACATCATCTGGAAAAGCTGTTGGGAAATCTCGTAAAAACGGTTCTGGTTCTGGTTTAGCTCGGGTTCTGTCAAGCTGTAAGCTCAGGCCCACCAATCCTGAGATGTGGTTGAGAGGTTGGTAGTTTGAAGACGCTGTTGCCTCAGGCTTCGTATCGGCTAGGTTTAAGTCACTCCCGTAGATCTTGGCTGAAAAAAATAAGTAATAAAGATCTTGTTAATTAATAGTTGCAAGAGCTTATAACTTGAGATTCATGTAGCTCCTGTATATTTATATATAGTCTTCGTGGAACATCGTGTATGTATCTTCAAGCATCTTCTACTATGGATCTAACCTAGCTTCTTAAAGCCTAGTCTTAACATTTTTTCTAGGCAAGGTCAGCTTAGCTGGCAGTATCTTATCTCCCAGTTTGCAAAAAAAAAAAAAATCACATTAGAATTATAGCTCGCCAGTACCACTATCATAAGATCCACCACCACCATCTCCATTCACTACTGATTACCGACCACCAGCCATGCAGTAATCATCGTCTCCGCCACCACCTCCATGATCATGGACACCACTACCATCATCAGTATACTCCTCAACATCAAGCATTACTAGAGATTCAGAATTTCGTTTTTGTTCTAAGTTTTGGTATCACACCTTTTCATTTTTGTTGTTGTTTTTTTTTGCTATCGCAACTTAAATAATGTCATAAATATGCATGAAGGTTCTTCAAGCGAAAACACTTAGTCTAAGTACGCTATCAATTCTAACTTTTCAACCTAAATAAGGTCTTAGAAACCAGATTGTCAGCAAGTAGCAATATAATTCTGTAATGGTATCTTTTAAATATCTAACAACTTCGAAAATTTCAAACTTTCTCCTAGTCACGAAAGCAATTTAACTTTGTGCCCAGTTTACTGCGCCGTTGCTTGAAAACAAGTGTGCCAAGCAGACACTAAAGCAGACATGTTAAGTGAAAGACATCTACTTTCTCTTGTAAACAATATGAAAAATAGTCCGATTTTGGATAAAAAAACTCGAAGCAATTACTTGTATTTATTGGTCTAGTCTTCTTTTAAACTTTTATTAAATTTAAACGTATTTTCTTACCTTGTCCGCGAAAATTTTCGTTTTGCATCTCAAATAATTCGGTTGAACAATCGTCGCGACCTAAAAAAATGCAATTTTTTTTTTAAAATAACAAAACAATATTATATATTATATATATATATACATACAGCCATTTGCAAAAATTATGGCCGTTTCAAATATACATACAGGTATATCGAAAGTATATCAGACAGGGCGGGATATCTTTCTTGATATTTTTTTCGGAAAGCCCTAGTGATAGACAACTCCAAAAAAATATCAGGGATGATATCTTATAACTTTTGATATGCTTTTGATATACTTGTACATATATATGGAAGCGGCYATAATTTTTGCAAATGGCTGTATATAATATTATATATATTTAATGTCGCAAAGCATTAATTGACTAGAAAGAATGATGTGATTAGACAATTATTTTTCACACACGAAAGTTCAAGTAAGGCGAGTGTTGAAGGCACTTTTGCATGCGGATTTTTATTGATCTAGTTCTTCCCGAAGGTAGCAAGTGGAGGGTGTGTTGGTTTATGAAGGTTAGCGTCTGTAGTGTGACGTGGCTTTAGTTGAGTCGAATTATCACATGAGTGCGTTTATAGTTTAATAAGATTAAGACATGACAAAACGCATGACCAAAGCACGTTCAAAGTTATTTCGATAAACGAACTCATTTCAAAAGAAAGCGTAGAACTTGGAACATTTTCATAGGCTTTCATATCCGCTTCGCCTCTAGACAATAAGCTTCTACTMACCAAGTGACTTTTGTTAATGATTAACTACGGCGATCTGTTTACAATATTGACGCGTTAATAAAAAACTGTATCTAATATTAATATTTTAGTAAAAAATGCTGATTGGTTAATAACATTATTACGGTTATTACTATTTTATTATTGATTTWAAAAAATAGATATTTTATACTCACTAGGAACGATCTGTGCGGTGTTGGGCATTTCTTCTATCGCTTGTATAACTGATGAGAGATATAATACTAACCATAAATTACTGTCGATCGTAATAACACTTGCGTGTTAAACGCCATCGAGTAATCTAGTGGAAAGCTCCAACACTCGACGTTCATTGGCTCATTGGTTCAATTACCCAATGACGTAACTTTCGATTTCTTCTACATCAATAACAGCTATTAATGGCAAGGCTAGACAAGCACTTTGATAGCTTTCTAAAATTACCAATATGATATTGATAACTGAGTTTCGGAGTGCTTTTTTGAGTGCTGATTGTCCTCCCTCTCGCCCTCCCCCACAGTTTCTTTCTTCCCCTCCCTTCCCCTCCCCCCTAAGGCAATTTGTACTCTCTTGCCTCTCCTAGAACTCCATCATGTTCAAAGTGCCATACACCCTCAAATGTAGTAAATAACTTCCATGAACTAAGTGAATGCAGATTTTTAATATTGACTTTATAATCGCAAATAGAAGACTGAATCAACTTATTATGCGTGATAGTGGTGACATTAAGTTCTAGAAATTCTCTCTAATTATATCATGTATATTTTGATGAAATATTACCTTCAAAAATATCATTAAATGCCATGTCAACCGGACTCTGTGAACCAGAAGCTGCCCTAACCATCCCTTTTTATCTGAAATTAAAAAAAGAATTACATTTCAAATACTTTACAGTATAAAACGTTCGAATTAAACACCCCACGCATAGGCAATACCGAAAAAAAATACGCCCACTACTTATTGAGCACTCAGAGAAGAAAGTAGCGTACGAGTGGGTAGATGCGAAACAATTTTCACTCACCTAAAATGCGAAAGCACTGTTAAAACCCCTCGCGAAACGAAACAAAAAAATAATAAAACAAATGTCGGTCGAGTCGAAGAGAACGCGAACGTGAACGACTCTCCTAGTGTACGAACTGTTGAATGACCTCCGTGGTATTAGAACACTTCGTTACAATCTTTGACACACGAGGTTTTCATTGAATTCGGAGAAAATTAAGTAGTATGATCTCATCCTTTGAACAACATCCGCTCCTTCAACGAAATATATACGAAACGTTTGACGTCATATTTGTGTTATCGGATATGCGAGTGATTAGCCAAGCTAAACTGGCGTGACATTACCTCTGTTGCTTCGAAATGTATATATCTATATATGTTATACAGAAACGATATCTATTCTGCTATTTTCCTACGTAATTAGCTGCCATGTTGCTTGGACGTGCGCCAAAATAACCGAAAAGAGATTTATACGTAGATCTTTGACGTAATTTTTACTGTTCGAATGACAAAGATCGCTTAAATAATTTAAGAGTCAATATAAAAAGCAGTTTTCTTTGTTAAGCTGAAGACAAACACACTTCGGCAGCCGTGCGTGATCACATGACAGGAAGCGAATCTCAATATGAAAAAAAGTTGTCTTAGTACGCATCTCTATCGCGCACATCCGGTGTATGTGTAGTCAGTTCGAACCTCGCGGTCAGTGAACACGCTGTAACAAGTTTCGGTTTGGAGAGTGAATGAAAATAAGAATGGGCTTTGTAAAACAACTGCGTGACGCTTGGTGTTTAGCTTGGAATTAAATGATATTTGAAGTCAATTTTTCTTTTGTCTCTGAAAGCCTTTTAAGAGCGGCTTCAAAATTCAATGAAAAAAATTTGACTTTTTCTGACACACCTCCAGTAGTGTGGAAAAAAAAAAAAAAAAAAACTCAATCAAATGAAGAAAATTATTTGTAGAATATTTGCAGAATTGACGTTGCAAGAAAATTTTTTTAAATCCCAAAAATATGGACACCTAACTAGTAAATCATGCATTTTTGAGAAACATTTTTTAAAAGAAATAACTCACCTTGTAATTCTGCGAATCTTAGAAGAAAAGCYGGGGTATTCTGCCTCTGCACGAGTTTGGTTTTGTATTATTGAGCTGCAGGACTTGAACAACGTGGACTTATTGTGCAATTGCTAACACGCGAGTGCCACACAGGATGGATGATATTTCGGATATACCTTGAACTCCTCAAAGCCTAACTCAAACTGAACTCATCGCATATTTACATAATCCTCTTATGACTCTTAAACTGTCGCGTTTCACGTTGCTAATAACAACCAGACAATAAATACTGTTAGCTGATAGGTCAGAAGTCCAGTTCTGACGTCAATGGATATTTTTTGTTGATCTCTGTAATGCCTTAAAAAATAACATCTGGGACTTTTATCGAATGCATCAGATATTGCTATGAAATGTCGAAACTTTATTTTATTACTGATAAAATTAATTTACTTCTATCATAGAGTCATATTTCCTCGGTAAATCCTTTCGTAGCCAACAGAGTGTGCCTTACGAAGTTTTGTTTCGTCCAGTTTCGACTTTTTTTTTTAATAACTAAGGCTTTTATATACCTTATTGTCAGTTTTTTAAAAGTCGGAATTTCAATTTTAAGGCTTTTAAATTGCTTTTGCGTTTAGTTGCGTTATAGTTGAAGGTTTCTTCAAAAACATGGTATATAAATAAGACTTATATTTGCTCAAAACCAATATACTGGAAGATTCTCTAACCAATATTACACCGATTTAGAGGGGCAGTATGCTTGATCAACAAGTTATTTTGCATCCTAACCTCACGCAACTTGATCGAAACACATATTATTACCCATTTCTGTTGGATATATATATATATATATATATATTAATAAATATTGATCTCTACTCATAGTTTCTACAGTCTACACAGAAGTCATAGAAGAATTCGTATTTTAATCTTGCGCAAAAAAAAAACCCTGAACTTTCTTTGTATAAAAACCAAAGTTCACTTGTTTTTTTCCTCCTCAGATTTTTCAGATGATTGATTTTTCTCGAACAATCTTTGCATGCTTTAACACACGAAAAACTCCATCTTTTGCACTTAGAATCGATTTAAATACGGCACGTAATGAAGAGAATTTTTTTTAGTTCTTCTGGCTGAAGGGCATTTATATTGCCATGGTCTTTCATTCATTTGAAGAATGTGATGATAGTTTACGGGTCACAGACCTTATAAACCTACGTTTAAATTTAGAGGAATACTTCATTTATGACGTCACTAAAGTTCACGTAATCAATATATAGTCTATGTTGGTCGTCTCAGCGTGTTTTATCTGATGTATGAACGACGTTCAGTCACAGTACGATGCATTCGTGTTATGTTATGCACTCTATGTAACACAACTTGCAATTCTATTTTACGAAGGATAGCTTTTTTTGTATCAGTGACGGACAACTTGTCACGCAAGCACAGCACAAATTTTGAATTATAATTCGTGGTTTTTAACTATTAGAATCAATAGAATTAAAGGAGTATTTTTAACAATTACGGTTTTGCAAGTCGACTCACATAGCGAAGAGGTTAGAAAATATAGATATCTGTTTATGAGAGCATAGGAAACCCAATCTCAAAAWGTTTGATTCCCTGATTATTACCTATGTATTAGTATAGGTAATAGGACTACATGCTATCCAATTTGGAAATAATTGGATGAAAAAAATTCCGAGGACTGACAAAATTGGAAGAGGCTGATAGGCCGAGTCCAATTTGGCAGTCAGAGGAATTTTTTGAATTCAATTATCTCCAAATTGGACAGCCATGTAGCTTTGCAGATTGATTATATCATCCCACACTATATTACACAGATTCCATAAGTCATAGTTTTCCCTCGAAGGAATGCGAATCGAACGACCCAAATTAATCTTTAACTTGGACAGGAAAGAGAATTTGACTATAATACAATAGTTGCTTATATGGGATTATAGAGTGATGATGCAATTACGTCACTATAACGACTCAATCGAGCTCTGATATTTCAATGTTTTTCTCTCGAGGAGCGTATTATTTTATTTACTTTTTATATTTTTTCCTTTCGATTTTCAATCTAGTAAAGTTCAAAATTACTATTCAATCCGGCTCAAGCTTCAAGATGTTGAATAGGTGTGTGACGTACTATTGAAAAATCAATTCCTACGAGTACTCATACGAGTTACTTTAGAACTTGCAAATTCATTTTATACGAAAACCGTTTATAAATTTAGATTTCTTAAAGCTTTTTTCTCTTTTCCTTTAAAACTTTCTTCTATTTTCCTTGACCAAAAAAAAAAAAAAAAAAAAACAAAACAGAAATCAGTTCCGGTGGTAGCCATATGTGGTCTTATCACTAAGAAAGACGTTAATAGTCTAGTATAAGACCCGGCACAGCGACCTTTAGGCAAGGATGACGTACATAGCCAGCAAGGCTTCTTCGCTGAAGGGATGTTAGAGATCCGTCGCTTTGTTAGTTACTAATTTAAGATCATTACCTCATTATGCCGGATAGCTTGAGACTGGAAGTTGATACTCCGTCTAAATTAGCGTTAACAGTGGAGATTCGATGGTCCGCATTTAAAATGTTTGAATGATGACATCTCCTTATCAGTAATCTAAAGACTAGTTCTCACTAGCTAGCGACCGACCGACGCAAGTCAACGAAATAAAAACAAAATCTTCATTTCATTCAGAGAATTCTGCTAAGAATCGTCAACAAGGGAGCTAGCAGTGAACTTGCGCATGCGTCACTTCTTTCAATATGCGAACGTAAATTAGAGTTGCATCTGCCTACGCAGCTAGTGGGAAGAAGGCTTAACTTCGTAGACCTCATAACCCCTCCTCAATAAATGCTACCAAGTACAGGAGTGTAGAAGAAAATCAGGATCGGAGATTCCGGAACGGAAGTGTAGGAGCATTGAGCGGATTTCCATCACAGATGCACGCTCCTCTTCCGCGGATAGCAAGTTTTTTGTTTTGTTTGGGGGGGGGGGGTGGTAAAATGTAGAATAATACGGAAAAAAAATGTTAATGACCCGCAAATGAGTGTTAATAATATAAGTATAGATAATCACACGGTTTCGAGTTCAATTTGGGATTAATTTGCACGAGTGTGTTTTTCAAAGAGTTAGAATTCCATGTCATAAGAGTGAAACTTGGAAGTCACGATTTGGGTGGAAATCAGACTTTTTCTTAATATATATATATTTAAAATATGCCTTGTTTTGACTAAAATCCTGAACCAGTCAAACATGAAAATCTCGTGAGACTGTCCAAGCGTACCCAAGACCTCTACCCGATGCCTTCGTTCTATTTTGTCCCCAAGGTGTAACAAGCAAGACGTGCGCATTTCCGTGTGATTGTAATTAAGTTGAGCATGTACGTGCGTGAATGTTGCTAATATGGCCAACTACTCACTCGCGATATATGCTCTTTACCCGTTTTGTTTGGATACAGTTGATTGAACTGGTTATAGACAGTAAAATTCAACGCCTATTTTTTCATCGCCTAGGGGGATCGGATATTTTTGTTGAATTGCATAAAGAGGTTAACTGAAGCCCACACCTCCCCTTAAACCCCAAGAGGCAATATCGACACTAGCGCTATCCGACGGATAAATATAAATAAATAAATAAATATATATATATATATATATATATATATATACATACTGCGGTTTGCATAAACTTTGACCCTTTTTAAATATATACAAKTATATCAAAAGTATATCAAAAATTATGGGATACGATCCCTGATATTTTGTTTTCGAGTTGTCCATCCTTAGAGCTTTTTGAAGAAAAAAAATGTTTTACATTCTGCATCTCATTTGATGTCTTGCATATCATTTGTTTATTTGTATAAATGTATACTACAACCTTTCTGCAATCAAGTGTACATATATATATACGTTAATTATATATGTATAATAAAGCTGATTTATAAAGCTTATAAAAAACAGCATACAGCATATGACCTTCCTATTACTGAAGTCAAGATATTTTTAATATATAATTGATCACTGATATCGGTTACCTAGTTACCATGACAAAAACACGAACGGCTTTGATAGGCTCATAACCTTGATACTACGGAAGTTCAAGATATTTTGGTCGTTTTTTTTTTGTTTTTTTGTTTTTTGTTTTTCTGTTAAGATAGTGACGGTGATTTGATGCCATTTGGCAGCATGTAGTTTGCTTGTTATGCAAATAACCTAATAAAAATTTTATATATTATTATCTTTTTTTCCATCGTGTTTGCGATTGTTTTCATCTAATCTCTTTACTACGCATTCAATGCACTTAGAAATTAAGGATTGCATCTTTTATTATTCATTAGATATTTTATTTGTATCGCACCTGTTATTTTCTAAACGAATCCCACACAGATGGTGGAAGAGTAATAACGAGTGGTGTGCATAATAAATTTGTTTACGATTGTTATCGTGGAGACAAATAACCTCTGTTGTGCGCTTCTTTTTCGGTGCCATCGCAAATAGCAATTTTAAAGATAGAAAATTTAAACCCAACATCAAAATACAAAAAATATATATTTCATCACGCATGACCTGCATTAAAACTTCGTAATTGTTAAGATTTTTAAATCGAATGGCCATAACTAGAAATGCACGTACATAAAGTATATATATAGATCCAAGCACCTGTTGGGCTATTGTGTAAGTGGCTAATGACGTCAACGTGACATCAAAATAGAACGAGTTGACGAAAATAACTTGAGCAAGATACGATTCTATTTACGTACGTGCGTACCCGAGGTAGTTTGTTCGACGATGCATGGATAAATGAAAGACGATCGTGACGCTTGCCAAATCTCAATTGCTTCAATAAGTTCACTAGAGTAAATCTGAAATTAGGTTGAGAACGTGATCAAAAATGATATTGGTACGAAATATTTGCGTAAGGCAAAATCTTGGGATGTTATTAAAAAGTGTGTTATTTATATTTTTCTTTTCTTATTTATGCAAAATAAGAATGACGTTTTCGTAAACCCTTCTTTTCTTGAAGTGCAAATGAACCCTTCGACAATACTTTCAGTACTGATTCTACATGAAACAAATAGTTGAATGGTAAAATATTTCTTGATTTGAGTGATGCGTCTCCAAGTTATGAAGGTTTATGCTTCCAAGGGTTCATGTGCACTTAACCATTCTTAATTATGCGAGGTTTAGCGCTTGACCATTTTGCCCTCCTACCTCCCCTCCCTTCTCTTTTTCTTTTCAACTCCCATCCCCTCCCCCAGCGAATTAATGCCATTACTTTGTCCCTTAATTCTCTCTTTAGGGTTTGCTACGTCCTTGAACTTTGATTTTATGACATTTTTTATGGTTCTGTAATCGCTTTTCATATGGTGGACAAGAGCCCTGATAATGATATTTCGATTATTCGTTGGTCGTTGGAGCGTTGAGAATAAATCAATAATGAACAATCACGCAATGGGCTTTTCTTAAATCAAATTTTTTCAGCATTTGATGTCGTTGCTTTTCATCACTAATTATCAAAAAATAAATACTATTAGTATAACTGAAAAACAGGGTTTAGCAAACGGTGAAATGTGATACGTGATTGTTAAACTGTTAAATTAATGACGTATTTAATTTTTTAAATAATGTCAGATATAATAAATTCTGTCTCGCGAACACTTGATTGCTCTCCTAGACGAACTACATCTGCTGCAACTGAGCGTAACGAGCAGTCGCTAATCTTTCTATTGCGATGATTTTCGTAGCATGCACGTACATATTTTCAGTGGGTTTACTTAACTTACATCCAAAGTACGTTGCTCAGGCTTTTCGAGAAACTGCTAACTTATCTTACTTATCTTACTTATTTTTTCCACAGTCTAATTATGCCAAACTTAAAAAATATATATATTTATAGTTAGAAGCTTTTGGCAAGAGACCAAGATTTATCTATAGCAAAATTCTCGACCGATCGAGCTTCCTTTTATTTTGGTTCGTCAAATGGCACCCGGTGTACGGGGCAATTCCCTCAATCAAATTACCGGGATTTAGTGCTAGGGGTAGGGAGGGGATGGGCATCTTTGGAATTGACTGATACATAAATCGTTCGTGACGGTGGGGTATTTGATTGAGTACTAACTATCCGAGAGCTAAGTCAAACCCCTGTAGCCCTGGAGCTATAGCAGCTGCAGCAAAACCATGAAATAATAACAAAGTTGATACTGCCAAATAGTAGCTATTTAGTGACTAATAGTTGCTATCACTCAACTCTTCTCTGTTTCTGTTTCTGTTGAGGGATAGCGACTATTATAGTCACTAAATAGTACATTATTTTTTGTTGCTGATTTTATTTCATGGTTTCACTATATGTGCTCAGTTTACTTCCGTAACATTTCACGCATTTTATCATCTATATGACAAAAATAGACTACGAGCAATAGTGTAAGCGGTATGTTTTATTCGACCAAAACCGATGTCCTTTCCTTCCGGCTATGCATGTAAACAGGAAGACCTATTCGAGTTAACCTTCAACGAGTTTTCATTTTTACGCAAACGGAATTATATATTACAGGAAACAATTCCAGACAAAGAAACATGCGGAATGTGGGGGAAAGACTTCCCCTTTGGACTAGGGGAATCTACTTCCTAGTTCCTGAACTACCAGAAAGGAAATAATACACAGGTAACCCACGTATGGGACGTGTGTGTGTGTGTGGGGGGGGGGA